AAAAAATGGCTATGAGGATCTGGATTGGGTGATAACTTTGGATAGCATATGGATAGATTAAACATTTCTAAAATGGCACTCTAATCCTTATTAGTTATTGCATTAAGCACAAACCATGTTTTCTGGACATGCCAGGACATAGGATTGAGAATTCTAATAGAAACATCACCTGGGGGTACTTGGTATGTGTGTATATCTGGGCCTAGGGCTGGTTCTAACCAAAACCAGTTTCTAGGCACACATTGGTTTATGGGCACATGTACATTTTTAGCCTCTAAATCCATAGCTTCTCCTGATTCCGTTCAACATTATTCACTATTCTAACGTCCAGAGTAACTGGAATCCACCCTGAAGCATGGAGGCAGAACAATTTTATATAATGCAGTAGGCAGCAGGTAGCCTTTTAGATTGTGGAGCAAAGGAGAACAGGATATACATCACGTTTTAAGAAGATTAACATGGTAGTTGTAGGTAGAGGTTACCTTTTAGTGGTCCTGACCACCCCATCTGGCAATCTCATATTAAGCTTACTTTATAACTGTAGAAGATCAGTCTTTAATCCATGTTAAAGGAATTTCATGCATTATCAAGCAGATGAGGTATTTTCTTTTGGCAGGGGATCCCTCCATGCACACTTAACATGGAAGCTTAAGACACCATCATTGTCCTCAAGGAATTTACAATTTGGTTGGGGAGATGAGACATAAAACACATGAAAAATTGAATGACAAAATGATGGCTCTGTTGGAGCTAACCTGGATAGAAACCTCAAAGGCCTAGAAAAGATGAAGGTGAATGATGACAGGTCATTTTCCTAATCAATGCCAGCAGTTGCCTCTGATCTAATGCTTTCCTCAGTTATCCTGTTTATACATCACCTCGTTTCCCAACTGGTAAGAAATTAATAAAAATTAGCCTGTACCCTGGTATAGCAGAAAGAGCCCTAGATATCAAGTAGAGGGCCAAGGTTCACATCCCAGGCACTTGCTCCCTATGTGACCCTGGGCTAGTTTCCAGATCTGTAACAATGGGCTTAGTAGAACCTGCCTCAAGGGTGTTGTAAGAATCAAATGAGATAAAGTATGTGAAGGGCTTTGCAAACCCTGAAATGCTAACTGTTGTTATTATTATTCTCATTAGGCCATTAGGCCTCTCCTAGGGGCTCTTTGCCTCCAGGGTATGTGTCTCTAGTCCATCCTGCTGGCCACTGCAAGACTGATCTTCCTCACAAACTACTTTCTTCTCTGTCCTCTGATCAAGAACCCACAAGGCCTAGCTACTTCAGCATAGATTCCACAGTTTCCTATCAAAGTTGGGGAGGGTAGCAAAGCACAAATTCTCCAGCTATACAGAATACAGGATAAGGTGAAACATGATACCAACCTGCCCATCCAAAGTCAGGTTAAAATGAATGTGCCTATAGAGCGACAAGTTGGAATTTTGTCTAGCACATCATTTTTTTTACCTGGTACCCAACCTGTAATTCTTGAAATTTCAACTCTACCTTCTATCAACCTTACATGGCTTTGATTGTGCTTCTCATATTGACTCACCCTCCTTTTTTGGACTCTGCTGTGGATTTGACCTCATTCCACATTGTGACCTGGACTACTTCTTCAGACATGACTATGGCCTCTGGTCATAAGGTCTTAAGCTGTGTAAGTAACCTTCTGACTATTCCTTGCTCATTAGAAGATTCTGCCCCACGTCCTTGTCCCATGGACTGCCCTGAGATGTCATAGCTGAAACTTATTCCCTACCTTGAAAAGCCTGGTCAAGACCATGGATCTTATGTAGCTAGAATCTCTTGCTAGAGAGATTCCCCTGGGGGGAAAGAGTCTGGATTTCAGGTATTGAAAAGAACATTGGATTAGGTGTCAGAAGCTGAGTCTTTCCTGCCTCCCACACTTAATAGCTGTATGACCCTGGACAAGTTCTTCAAATCTCAACTTCTTCATATATAAAATGGAGATTACAACTGCATCTGCATCACAAGATCATTATAAAGCTTAAATGAGAAAATGCAGGTAAAGCACTACATAAGGAGTAGTAGTAGTAGTTGTTGTTGCTATTAAAATTCTAGCCAAGATGTAGGTTTGAGTCCTAGGTCTGTTGCTTAGTGACTTTGAGATCCTGGACAAGTCAGTTAACCTCCACAGTTGCAATTATAAAATGAGGGTTAAACTAGGGGGACTTTGAGATCTCTCCCAGATCTGTCTATAATGATTTGAGCTCCTCTGTTCTTCAGAAGCTTTCTTTCACAGATTGTCTCTACAGACTCTGGTGTCACATACAAGAGATCTTCCAGGGGGCTCAGAGTTATACCTTAAAAGCAGATCCTTCCTTTCCCCCAATTCCTGGTCGGCTTATGGTGATTTGTTACCACTTGCATCCTCTCTCCTCCAGTGCCTGGGTGGTCTTTCTCCTGATAACAGCAACACATCCTGTCTGCTAAATCCCAGGGACTGAGGAGGAAGATGGAAAGGAGAGGGAGGAATGAGAGGATGTGTCTTTTTCTCTCTCTCTGGTGACTTTTCTTTCTCTGATGAACAGCTGAGCAAAATTATTCAAGTTCCCTGGGGCTACTTCCTTAAACATTTAGAAAAGGGAGGAGTGAAGGACCTCAGCACCATCTGCATGCTGGGAAGAAAAAGATTTGTCATCCCCATACAGAAATTATTCCCTAACTTCTTGATATGTGTTTTGCTTCCCTAACTAATTTTTTTCTTCACTTTCATGAGAGCAGAGACAATGTTTTCTGATTGGCAGAATGATGCAATGGAAAGCTCATGAAGAAGGAATTAGAATACTGTACTTCTGGCCCTAGTACTGCCATTGACCCAGCTCTGTGTGACTTTGGCTAAGATTTAGGAGCAGAATGATGCTATCTGTAAAGTCCAGGAATTGCTCCACGTGGTAAATGCACTCCTTTCTAACTCCAGATCTCTGTTCTCATGATAGGTGACAGAGGACTATATGCAAAGTACCCCAAGATAAAGGCTGAGAAGTGATAAGGGGATAGATAGAGCCTTAGAGTCAGGAATACTTGAGCTCAAAACCCTAGGCAAATTACTTAACTTCTCTGGGCTTCAGTTTCCTTATCTTTAAAATGGGGATAATAATAATAATTATAATACCTATTTCCCACCATTGCTGTGAGGATAGAATGAGATAATTATGATTTACTTGGCAAACCTTAATTGTTTAGTCATATCTGACTGTACATGACCCCATTTGGGGTTTTCTTGACAAAGATACTGGAGTGGTTTGTCATTTCCTTCCCCAGCTCATTTCACAGATGAGGAAACTGAGGCAAACATTGTTAAGTGACTTACGTAGGGTCACACAGCTAGTAAGTATGTGAGGCTGGATTTGAACTCAATCTTCCTGACTCAAGCCAGGCACTCTATCCACTCTACCATCTAGCTTCCCCGTTAACCTAAAAGCACCAAACAAATGCTAACCATTATTGAAGGCATTGTGATATGGTGAGAAAAGCTCTATACTTGGAGTCAGGAAGACCAGGATTTGAAGCCTTCAGCTAGCTCTGGGACCATGGGCAGGTCTATTAACCTCAGTTTTCTCATCTATAGAAAGAGGGAGTCTGGCTGGATGATGGTTAAATTCATGATCCTATGATCCTCTCTTCTAAGGTTACTTTCTACTTCATCCCTGGTATGTATGTATTTATTTACATGTTATCTCCCCGTCATTAGAATGTAAGTTCCTTGAAAGCAGGGACTGCTTTTGCTTCAAAAAAAAAAAATCTCTTGACCCCAGGCAAGTCACTTAGCCCCATTGTCTAGCCAAAAAAAACCAAAAAAAAAAAAAAAAAGCAAAAGCAAAACCAAAAACCAAAAAACCCTCCAGTGCTTAGCACAGCCCTTGATAGCTATCAAACACTTAATAAATGTCTGGTAATTGATGACTAGGCCAGAGGAGAGGTTTGAAGGCCTGAACTAGGGCAATGGCAGTAGGAAAGAAGAGAAGGGGGGAAGGATTGTAAGGGATATTGTGCAGGTGAAAGAATAGCCACTGACTGAACGTCCGTATGGTGGGGTTAGACTTGGTGACCTGTAAGGTCCCTTACTTACAGCTCTAAATCCTATGACTCTGGTTATAGTGGGGGAGAGGGGAGGGGAGAGGACAGAAGGTATAGAGTTAGGAGCCAGTGAATTTAACACGGCGGAAAGAGCATTCACCGACTCTGGACTCAGAAGACCTGGGTCCGTTGTCTCTGACGCAAGCTTTGTGACTTTGGGGCAAGCAAGTCATTTCCCTGGGCCCCAGCTTCCTCATCGGAGGAGGCGGAACTGCATGACTTCTGAGGTCTCTTCCAGCTCGAAATCTGTGATCCTGTGATCTTGTATACATACCTACATACCTACACGTATACATATATGTGAATATGTATATGCGAACTTATAGGTGGTGTCACCGGCAGCGGCCTCCCTTCCAACCATGAATGCTTCTGGAGGGCAGGGACCATTCATTTCTGTCCTTGTATCCCCCGGTGCCCAGGACAGTAGCTGACAGTCAGCAGGAGCTAAATAAATGCTTGTTGCTCAATTAAGATTAAGATTCCTTTCAGCTTTAACGTTCTGGGAATTCTCCCTCCCTCTCCAGACCCTCCGTTCTCCCCCACCTCCTCCTGTTCTAGGGCAGCCTGGAACCTAGATAGCTGTAGTACTCCAAGAGTGGCGTTTAGTTCAGCTCAGCTCAGCTCATCTTCCCAAACCACTAGCCTTCTCCCGCGCTCCAGGAAAAAAAGGAAAGCAAAGATGCCTCGGATGACAATCCAAGGGGTGGATGTTAGAGAGCCGCCACTCCAGCAGCTCAGCATTGTCTGAGAGGGAGGGGAGAAGCCCCGCCCCCCGTCCCCCCTGGGGAGGGGGAGAGTGGAAAGAAAAGGGGGCGGGGAGGCGAGGGGCCGCCTAGCCAATGGGGCTGCAGAAGCCCTCGGCCAGCCGTGGCTGGATTGGAGCTGGGGGCTCCATCAATCAGGGGGGTGAAGAGGGGGAGGGCGGTGGCCTGGTGGCTGGTGCGGTCCTCCCTCCTGTGTCTCCCCGAAGCTGCCCCGCGAGCCCTCCCGGGGACTGATGGGCTGGACCTGCCGGGGAGGCGACGGCTGCCGCGTGGACCGGGCTGAAATCCTCGGGGGCTGCCCCGCAAGGGTAGCTCCGCGCCCCCAAGCTTTCCCCTGCTAGCCCGGGGGCGCACGGTAAAGCGGTCTTTGATCCTTCCCCTTTGGCTGCCCTGGCAGCCCCGCTCGCTCTTCCCCTTCCTCTTGTCTGGGTGCTGTGTGTGTGTGTGTGTGTGTGTGTGTGTGTGTACGTGTTCCCGTGCGCGCGTGGAGCTGGGCTGGGGTCCTTCCCGGTGGATCTCCTGCGCTCAGTCCCAGCGAACCATCCTGGGTCCTCCCACGCAAACCGCACCGACATCTCTCTCTGTCTTTCAAAGTTTAGCATCCCAGCTCCATCTTTGTGGGCACAACTCCTCCATATCTCCTCTTCTTTCTCTCCCCCATCCCCAAATGCAAGGGAGGGGAGTATTGTGTTATTTACTTGTAGCGGCACTACTTGGGTGACCCTAGGGACTTCACTTCTCATTTGGGTCCTCAGTTTCCTCATCCGTACAATGAGAAGGTTGGAGTATTTGACCTTTTCTTTAATACTGTGAAGATGCGATTGGATCTGAGTTGTGACCATTGGAGATCCCCCTCTGAGGTCCTGAAAACTACACTTCCATGGTGGTAGTCTGGGTTCTTTCCGCTCTCACAGTCTTCCAATCGGGAGAGAGTGCAGGTGCTCAGAGCTGGGCTTCTGGGAACAGGATGGTAGAAAGTGCCCAAGTTTTGAAGTCAGAGGCCCTGGTTCTCACTCCTGTTTCTCTGCTCTTCATATTAGGCATTTGGCCTTACTAATCACTTCCCCTTTCTGAATGTGTAAAATGAGGCAGCTAGGCTAGGTGTTTTCTAAGTCGGTATTTTTTCCCTGCTCTAAGTCATTATGATTCCAGGCACAAGGTGGAATAAAAGATCTTGGGGGCAGCAAAATGAGCCTTTCTAGTTTTTCCTTAGAATTAGAATAGATTACATTCCTTTAATCTTTTCTTTTCAACAACCCTTGGAGGGAGGGAGTAACCCTAGCCCCCAACATCCCAAGCTTGCTGTCAAGTCCTTTTAGCCAAGCAGCTGCCATAGCTGAATGGGGGAGTTAAACATCCCAGGCTGGTGAGAAGGAACAGTTACTCGACTTCTTTTAGAAGTGAAGGCAGGAAGCGCAGGGGATGGCTCTCTTGTTTCTTTCTTCTCTTTTCACCCTTTGTGCCTATGCGCCTGACTTATACAAAACCCAATTCAGGGAAGATTCATTGCTTTGTTTTGTTTGTCTTTCTCTGAGGTGAAGGAGAAATCATTTTGTCCTCTGAAGCTTATCGTTCATCTTGGTTTCTAGAGTAGGCCCGAGGCTTTAACAGGTGGTGGTCCTGCTACCAGTTCTCTAGCCAGCCTCACTCTCAGGGGTAGTGGCAGCGTAGGAAGCCTTGTGGAATGAAATGAGCATTCTAACTAGAGTTCTGGAACTTGGGTTCAAATCTTGACTCTGTCACTGACTGGTCACTTACATCTCTCTCTGGACCTCAGGTTCCTCACCTGCAAAGTAAAGGGGTTGGATTGAATGACCTTCTAAGGTCTTTTTCCAGCTCCAGGTCTGTGGTTGCTGAGTTTATGTCTACAGATATTTAATTGCAATTGTGAGATACTAGGGGAGAAGAGCTTTTGTTCTTTAAGTCACTGGGACTCCCTTAGTAGAGATCACTCCGGCAGAGTGATCGAAAATCAGAAAATGAAGGTTCTAGTTCTAGTTTTCCCAGTGCCTAGCAGAGTTGTTCAGTTGTTTCCAACTTTTCTTGACCCCCTAGACTATACTGTTCGTGGGGTTTTCTTGGCAAAGGTACTGGAGTGGTTTGCCATTTTCTTTTGTAGTGGATTAAGGCAAATAGAAGTTAAGTGACTTGCCCAGGGTCACCCAGCTAGTTAAGTGTCTGACACTGGATTTGAACTCAGGTCTTCCTGACTCCAGGCCCAGTGGTACCACCTAGCCACTGCATTATGTATGCTTGATGATATTGGCCAAACTGAATTGAATTATGACTCTGGGCAAGGTAGAAAGCAGTGCAATGTAGTAGGAAGAACACAGCTAGGCACTAGCTGTGTGACCTTGGGTGAGGCCTCTCACTTCTCTGAAGCCATTTCTTCATCCATAGAATGACCTTTCAGATTTTTTTTTAATTAAGTGACTGGTGTGTTTACTGTACTAGGCACTTGGATGACAGACATTTCTGCTGAGAAGAGACAGGGCTGCTGTGAAAATAAGTGGCTTCATGAACAGATAGGATTAAAAAACACCTTTGTTTTAAATTCAACCAATTTGGTAACATCATGGACCTTCTTTAGGGAAGGAGAACTGTTTGGGGAGAACAACAGAAGTTTAAAGGTGGAAAGGATCTTGCAAAGGATCAATCCAATTCCTTCATTTTACAGATGGGGAAACTGAGACCCAGAGAGGCTTTCACATGCTCACCTCACATTGGCCAAGGTACAGTCTGAACTACCAGAAAGAGCAATGGATCTAGTCTAGAGGCCAGGGTTTGAATTTAGCCCTGCTACTTTTTCTATGACTTTGGCTCAATCCCTTTGCCTCTGTCTCCAAATATTCTTCTCCTATGCTCCTGATAAGCTAGTAGGGATGAAAAGAAAAATTGTCAAAGTCCAGAAGAAGTCTTTCCCACATTTTCATTACAGTATTAAAGAATTCAAATGCTATATGGCATTTTGAGAATACTTTTGAAAAAGGTACATATGTTAAATATATTAAGTGTATCCCAACCTACTTTCCAAGTTATACCTGTATCTATGCATGCATAGATACATACACACATATAAGTTCATGTATACACACATACACACACATATAGTGAGTATTAAGGACAGTGGGAAATTCAGGATTTTCTCTTCTAGATCAAGTTCTATGACTTTGGGATCAGGAAGACCAATTCTGAAATGACATTTTGTCCACTAGAAAGCTCCAAGCTAAAAGGATCTTTGGAGTAATATTCACCCCGTGTGTGATAGGGATAAAACATCTTTCTACTTTTTTACTTGCTCTGTAGGTGGGAGGGACAATGTTTATATTACCATTTAGGTAGCTTATTACTGAATGATTATTATTTACACACCTCCACTAAAATCCTTCTGACGCCTTGTCCTGAGGGTGGAGATGACCCTGGATTCTCAAAAGCTATGCTAGTTGAACTCAAGCCCTGGGCGGTCTTACCAAGATGGAAAGGCTTTGTGAGATTGTGTAGTTGCTATGGAAGGACCAGCCTATCCCCCTGTCTTCTACCTCCCTTTTCTCTTACTAGGTTCAGATCCCACTGAGGAAGCCATTGGGCTCTCTCTGGGGCCAGGCTGAACTCCGCTTTGCCAAAGTTCTCTTAGTCATTTGGCCTTCTAAGTGAACTGTGTAAAGTACAGCATTAACAAAAAGTAATTAACAACTTTGCTAGGCAACAACTACTACAAAACAGGGTAGTCAGAGCAACAAGGGGGGAAAGGGAAGAGAATTTAATACTATTTTATGGCATCAAAAGACAAAGATTTGGAGCTCATTAGAAAGCAGCACTAAATTGAAGGAATACTTTTGGGTTAGAAATAGAATGGGATACATAATTGATTCAATCAATAAACATTTCTTAAGCACCTACTGGGTGCTGGAGCTACAAAAACAAAAATGAAATACTTTCACATACCTTACATTCAATCAAGGAAAACGTTATTTATAAATGTTGGCACAGATACTAAAAATTACTCTATATCTACATATGGAGCAATTTTGCACATATGTATATATAGACACACATGTATTTATACATAGATGGGGGAGACAGAGAGACAGAAAGAAACAAAAGACAGAGAGACAGACAGAGAATTGGGTGGGGAGAGGCTCTAGGAACGGGAGAGATTGGATCTGCTTTGTGCAGAAGGTAAAACCTGAGCTGAGCTTTGATGAAAACCAGTGATTCTGAGAAGTGGAGGTGAGGCAGGAGGGCATTCCTCGAAGTGAGATGAAGTCTTATGACTGATTGCATTAATGAAAGGAAATCCACTATGCAAAAGTCTTCCTTTACAAACTATAATGTTTAAGCACTTAGTATCACTTACTATTTCAGTCAGTGAGGCTGGAAGAGAAGCCTTGATAGTACTATTTGGTAAACTACAAAGATCTGATGACTATTCATCATTTGTTGAGGCTGCTGATATGGACTGCTTTAAGGCTAGCAACTGAACAACTGACTGGTGAGGTAGGGAGCAATGGTGACAAATCAACTCATGTAAACAAGTATTTATTTATTAAGGGTCTGCTACTAGGCACTACAGGGCAGCTAGGTGGCCCAGTGAAGAGAGTGCCTGGCTTGGAGTTAGGAAGACTCATGTTCTTGAGTTTGAATCTGGCTTCAGACACTTACTAGCTGTGTGACCTAGTCACTTAACTCTGCCTAACTTTCCTTATCTATAAAATGAGCTGAACGTGGAAATGGCAAACTACTCCAGTATCTTTGCCAAGAAAACCCCAGATGGGGTCACAAAGAGTTGGACATGATTGAACTGAGCTAGGCACTATGTTACAAAGAAAAGCAAAAACAGTCTTCTGTGAAGGTGCACACAGTCTAATGGGGGGAGATAACGAGGAAACGATTATGTACAAAGAAGACATACAGGATGTCCCAAAGTCTTGGTGCAGATTTAATCTTTAATGCTTTATTAAAGCATAAAACTGCATTATGACTTTTGGAACACCCTGTATAGTGTCAGTCAATGAATGCCTAAAGTATTCCAGGGACTGTGCTAAGTGCTGGGAATACAAAGCAAGGTAAAAGACAATTCCTGTGCTTAAGGGGCTCATTGTCTAATGGGGGAGGGAGGTTGGCAGGAGAACATCTATACAACTGTGTAAAAATAAGATATGTTGTTGTTCAGTAGTATTATGTCTGATTCTTTGTGACCCCATTTGGGGTTTTCTTGGCAAAGATACTGGAGTGATTTGCCATTTCCTTCTCCAGTTCATTTTACAGATGAGGAAACTGAGGCACTTAGAGTTAAGTGACTTGTCTAAGGTTACACAGCTAGTAAGTGTTGGAGGCCAGATTTGAAACTCAGGTGCTCCTGACTCCAAGCCCAGTACTTTGCCCAAAACAAGATATAGACAAGATCGTTTGGAGATGATCTCTGAGAGAAGGCATTAACTTAAGCACTGTCATCACACTTCTGATCATTTGTTGTTTGGAATCACACAAGAGTGATACAATGTCAGAATCAGAAGAAGCCTCGAAAGCCATCTAGTTCAACCCATACCTGAATAGCAATCTTCTCTACAACTTTCCCAACAAGTGGTCATCTAGTCTCTTCTTGAAGACCACCTCCCTTTCCCCCACTCCCTTAAGGGAAACCCACAACCTCCTAGGGCTGCACATCTCTCTTGTGGACAGTTCTGATGGCTGGGAAATGTTTCCTTCCATGAAATTGAAATCCGGAAGCTTCTATCCATTCACGGCTCCTAATTCTGTCCTCTGGGGCCAAGCAGAACAAATGGAATCCCTTTTTGTGGCAGCCCCCCAAATACTTGAAAACCATCATCATCACTCCCCACTCTCCTCTCAAGTCTTCTTCTCTGTAGGCTAAACATCTCCAGGTCCTTCAGTTCTACTGAAGGTGTCCTGAGTGCAGGGTCCTTCACCATGCTGATTTCCTTCCCCTAGACACTCTCTAGAACGATCAAGATTTATCAGTGTTCTTCCTGAAATGTGGCCTCCAGAATAGAACATAATAGCCTGTGTGGCCTGACCAAGTTAGGGTACAAAGCTCCTGCCAATCCTATAACCTTATTTGTTCTGGAATATGCTTGAATTTGATAAAACTTTCATTTGGCAGCAGGGACCCAGAGTCAATCAATATTTTTACATAATGATACTTACGTGAATGCAGGATTTTAGAGCTGGCAGAGTTGTTATTGATTATCTTACCACAAAGTAAAGTCCTCTTTTATCTTAATAAGGCAGCTAGGCACTGCCCTGAATAGAGTAGGGGACTTGGAATCAGGAAGATATGAGTTCAAATCCTGCCTCAGACCATGGGTAAGACATGTAACTTCCCTTAGGCTAACTTCCCTCAGCTGTAAAATGGGGAAAATAAGAGCCCCTACATCCCAAGGTTGTTGTGAGATTCAAATGAGGTATGTGGAAAGTGCTTTGCAAACCTTTAAAGCACTACATTATTGTTAGTCATCGTTATTATATTATTAAGGGAATAATCTTCACTAAAGTAAAGTTGGGACTTTAACCAATGGGTTTGCTAATTGTTCTTTCCTTTCATGGCCTCCAGTCATGACATATATATTTAAACAAACACTTTAGGAGGATGAGAGCTGAGGCAGTGGAGGTATCACTCTCTGGGGCTTAGCTATGGAATTTCCTTTGCTTACTCTCACTGGAGTTTAGTCCTGGCTGACCTGGTCCAGGCCTCACTATAGGACCTCAGGTGTCTAACCCATGGGGGATTCTTTTGCACACTTAGGCCTTCAGCCTGATTTTGGTTTTCAGTGGGCTTTGTTCCCTTCCTTTTAGGGAACTCAACCAGAGGCCCCCAAAAGAGAGGGAACTCTCAAATTGACAGAGAACCATGAAGTGAGGATGGGTAGAATTTCTTGCCATAAGGCTCTCTGGGATGGTATCTAGATAGTAAGCACAGCCTCCTTTAGTATAGAGACACGGCTATTTGTGCTTCCTAGGAAAGGCATCCTTCCATCCTTCCTTCCTTCCTCCTCCCTCCCTCCCTCCTCCCTCCCTTCCTCCCTCCCTCCTTTCTTCCTTCCTTCCTTCCTTCCTTCCTTCCTTCCTTCCTTCCTTCCTTCCTTCCTTCCTTCCTTCCTCCCCTCCTCCTCCCTCCTCTCTCCTTCCTTCCTTCCTTCCTTCCTTCCTTCCTTCCTTCCTTCCTTCCTTCCTTCCTGCCCTCCTTCATTTGCTGTCACTGTCGTTTTTCAGTCATGTTTGACTCTTGGTGGCCTCATTTGGGGTTTTCTTGGTACAGATACTGGAGTGGCTTGGCCATTTTCTTCTCCATCTCATTTTACAGTTGAGGAAACTGAGGCAAATAGTGTTAAGTGACTTATGCAGAGTCACACAGCTAATAAGTATCTGAGGCCAGATTTGAACTCAGGAAGATGAGTCTTCCTGACTCCAGGGCTGGTGCTCTATCCACTATGGTGCCACCTAGCTGCCCTTCATTCAGTTACTCATGCTTCAAAGCTAGAGGCTGTAAAGACACAAACTTTACGTAACATGCTGTTCCTGTCCTCATGGAGCTTATAATCTGTTGTCTTTTTTTACCTTTCCTGGTACTTGACTGATGAGAGAGATAATGTTAATAATAACAATAATAGTAATAGAAGCTAAAATTTGTATAGCGCTTACTATGTGCCAGGTACTGTGCTAAGTGCTTTAATGATGATTATTATCAACTGATTGATTAATTATAATTGATTAATATTGATTATTATCTCATTTGGTCCTCACAACAACCCTATGAAGTAGGTGCTTTTATTATCCCCATTTTACAGATGAGGAAATGGAGGCAAACAGAGGTCAAGTGACGTGCCAGGGTCACATAGCTAATAAAGATCTGAGGCCAGATTTGAACTCAGGTCTTCCTGACTCCAGAGGCCCAGTGCTCTAACCACTGATTAAGAACGTAACTAAGAATGTTTACATTTTATCTTTCAGTTCATCCTGCATTGATTTTAGAGAAAAATGTCCCTGAATACAGAATGGTTTGTTGTCCCGTGCTTTGAGAGGAAAACAATCACAAGCAGAGCTGTTTCTGTATAGACGTGACAACTGGGGGTTTGGCACACATCGGATGTCTGGATCCTGGGGCTTTTGGATCTGATCTAAGTTCTGGAGATAATGGGAGGGGAGAAGGCAAAGCAGCTGCCACTAAGGGGTGCAAGGCTCTTGGGTGCCCCGGGGTGTCTCCCCTTATCTGAGTGTATTCAGATTAAGCTGAACATTGAAGGCAGCCTGGATGAGGATGTGTACTCACAGGGAAGGCCCGCGATGAAGCAGGAAGAACCGTGGGGTGCAGTCCCAGCTTTGTTGCTGACTGGCTGCGAGACCTTGGGCAAATGTTTCTGTGATCTTGAACCTTTCTGCTCCTTGGAAAATGAGGGAGTTGGCCGTGAGGCTCCCAGGGCTCTTCCTGGTCTCAGTTTCTCCTCTTTGTTTATTCCCTGTTTCTTAGGTGAAGGCACGAAGGTGTGCTAATGCTGATCACGGGCCCTCACAGTTGGGAGAGTCTGGGCCTTTCATAGTTTCTCTGCAGAGAGCCAGACAAGGAGAGGACGTGAGTAAGGGAATGAGTATGTGAAGACTTTGTTAGCCCAAGGGCACAGCAGCCCCGTTTTGTTCTCTGTTCTAACTCCTTACATAGAGAACATTTCCCAAAGCTCTGTGGGACATTTCCAAAAGGGGCTTCATCATGGTTGGTTCTGGGTGGGGGGACCATAGATATAGTGGAAAGAAAGCCAGGCTTGGAATCAGAGAAGACTCTTCATGGCATGGTCCAAGGAACCCTGACCGATTATGGGGTCAGAGAACTTTCTCTTGAATTCTTCCTCTGATACTCCCTGCGTGACTTTGGACAAGTCACTTAATCTCCCTGGGCCTCAGTTTCCTCATCTGGAAAATGAAGAGGTTAGACTAGATGGCTCTTAAATTCCCTTCTAGCTTTGAACCGGTGAACCCATGAAGATGACCCCTGAATTAACTCAAATTTCTAAATCTATAAATCTATAAGGAAATCTGGACTCAAATCCAAGCTGTGATATTTACTAGCTGTGGAACCCTGAGCAAACAACTAAAGACCTCTCTGAGCTTCAGTTTCCTTTTCTGTACAATGGCACAACTAAGAAAGAGTTGCACTATCTACCTCATAGGGTTTCTGTGAGGGTAGCACTTTGTAAATTGTACAGCGATTTTGAAAAGGGATTCTGTAAATTTGGGTCTTCTAGGACACTAGCTAATGGTGGAGCTGGGAGCTGGGATCATCAGTCCTGAATCTCAGGCCCGTTACATGGTTTTCTACTCATATACCTCTGTCTTCCCTTAATACCTGTCTATGGTCCAATCAAACTGGCTTTTTTGTTGTTCTTCATATGCAACATTTCACGTTCCATCTTTCATCTCTCTGCATTGGCACTGACTTTCCCCCATGCCTGTGCTATATTTCTTTCTTGACGATCTCTCTCAAAATCTGTGGTTTCCTTCAGGGCTCAGCTCAAGCTTTGTTTCCGGTTGATGCCTTTCTTGATCCTCCCCTCTCCCAGCTCTCAGTACTTCCTTCTACCCTAAAATTACCTTGTACACATCTTGAATATACTGATAGATATCAGACTTGGTTCTCCTGAAAGAATATAAAGCCCTTGAGGGCAGGGAACCATTGTTTTTATTTTTGTTTATATGTTTCTACTGCCTGGCACAGCCTAGCACATACTAGGTACTTGATAGATGCTCATCAATTAAGTGAGCTTGTCTAATGAAGAGACCAGGTTAGATGAAGTCTGTAGTCCCTCCCAGCTCCAACATTCTGTGATTCTCTTGAGTCTACTTCCACAAGGCTTAGCCTCCTGCTTTTGTGAAAAGAGGCATTCCTCAGCACCCTTGCCAGCCTTGGAGGCTGGGCTGGTACACTTTAAAACAATTGCAGGGCTGATCTCCATCTGATTTCCCCTCCCCAGACAGTTACCCTAGCAAGAGGAAGCCGGTAAGACACTGTCACTTTAAACAAACCAACAGTAGCAACAACAACAAAACATGTTTCCCTTTTTTATGGTTTTAGACTAAGTCCTTTGGAAGTAGGTCAGCGCCACAAGCTGGGTAGTCATTGGTGTTGTTTACACTGTTGTTTACACTGAGTCTTCCTTGTATGTTCCTGTGAAGGATACCGAGGGTGGCTCCAGGAGAGAAGAGGGGCACCCTAGGGATGGCAGGCCTTTACAAACATGGGCATCGTCTGACTCCAGTAACTCCTCTATCATCTGGGGATTCTGGGCTGTAATCATGAGGGACGAAAGGTTGGCGAAGCCATTTGAGTTAGGAGCTATGATCTGGAGGCAAGAGCTAATGTGGAACCCTTGCTCACAGTGACTCTAGTTGCTTGGCCCAGAGACCAAGATGATCTTAAAAAGAGATGCCAAGCACATGCTTGTCAGTTGAAAAAAGTAAAATAAAATAAAACTAGATAAATAATAATAATACAATAAAATAAAAATATGCCAGATCATAGGATTTGCAACTGGAAGAGACACTATTGATCATCAGCTCCAACTTTTTCATTTTACAAGTGAGGAAACTAAGGCACAGGAGAAACTCAGGTCCATGGCTTTTGGTTTTATCCTAGTTGATTTAGTTTCAGAAATGCTAAGCTAACACTTAGTGATCATAGAAAATCTTCAGCAGAGAATGTGGCACTGTGGTAGGTACTTTCCCATTGCTTAAGTACCCTAATTTGAAGCAAAATCCTTTTTCTAGGTTTAGGCAATGAAATATGGTTAAAAAAAAAGAGTCTTGGCCTGGGAGTCAGGAAATCTTGATTCTAGACCTGGCATCTTACATTAGTACATTAGTGTACTGTGTGACTTTGGGCATGTCATTTCCTTTCTCTGGGCCTCAGTTTCCTTTTCTATACCATGAAAGGGAAGATACTGCTAGATCAGTGTATCAGACTCAAATAGAAACAGGGGCCACAAAAACATACAGAAGGATCCCCATAGGCTGCAAAGACTTGGAAAAACCACATGCTAACGTTATCCACATTCTATTGTATTTTATTTGTTTTGTTAAATATTTCCCAGTTACATTTTAATCAGTGTGAGCAGTCTCCAGGAATATTCTGGGCCATGTATTGAATGCCTCTGAACTAGAGATCTTGAGGTTCTCTTCTATCTATAATATTGTATAACTGTCTGTAAGGGAAGGACTTGTTTGCCTGAAGAAAGCCAAAAGGGAACTGTTTTTGCTTCCTCTTTCTGACCTCTTTCATCTATTCTAAAAAAAAAACACCACAAACTATTTCAGTGCATCAAATAGGCCTCTTTCCATATATCTATGGACTATTTTGAACTGGAAACCTTATATAACATTCAGTTATAGCACGTGCTTCAGTATAAGTTGCAAGGCTCTGTTTTTGAAGTGTGTCTAAGGGATTGGAATGGGATCATTCAGAAGGACCTCTGTCTACCATGATTTTATAGGCTTCTCTCACTTTTTTCTAAGGGCAGTGAGGTGGAGCAGTGGGTGGAGCACTAGGCCTGGAGTTGGGAAGATCTAAATTCAAATCTGGCCTTGTTGTGTGACCCTGGACAAGTCACTTAACCCAGTTTGCCTTAGTTTCCTTATCTATAAAATGAGCTGGAGAAGGAAATGGCAAACCACTCTAGTGTCTTTGCCAAGAAAACCCAAATGGGGTCGTGAAGAGTCAGGTACAACAGAACAGTGGCAGCAACAATACCTGTTTCTGCAGAGAAGATAGCGCAAATCTTCACAGCAGGTAATGTCGTAGGGTCCTAGATGAGAGCTAGAAGGGGCCTTGAAGTCCACCCACTCCAGACTCCTCATTTGATGCTCAGAATGAAGAATGAACTTGTCCAAGGTCACACTCCTAGGCTGTGCGTAGCTGGGATTCCAACTGAGACTTGGGAGGCTAAATCCAGGCCTCTTTCCACTGCACCATGCTGCTAAATCTCCCTCTCAGCCTGGAGATATATTTAGGTTATAATGAGAAAGGAGCCCTTTCAAATGACAGGGTTGAATGTTGCTTGCGTGGTTTTACTTCTAATGCCCCGTTGGAACTGTTGCCAGATTCTGCTATGATTTGCTGTCAGTCGATTCTTTTCTATTTCTCTCTCTGAGGTTTGGTTGGCTCCCGGAGCGCCCCTGTTGTTTGTTTCAGATGTGATCCCATCTTTCTGCCCTGTCTGAAGGCCCTCCTCCTTGGAATTGGAGCCATCTCCGAGGGATACTCCAAGGGGATGTGGGTTTTCTGCTTCTCACTCTGATTCTTAGGACTATGCCTCAGCTGCCTTATACGTGCAAGCAAACATAAGTTCCCTCAGCCTCCGAGGCCTTCTCACTCTGGAACATCTTCTCCCATCATTGAGTTCCTCCCCAGAACCACCATTTGGAAAAAGGACATAGGCCAGCCACAGCTTCATTCTTTTCCTAGCTCATCTTTGGAATCTCTAGACTATACCACCCTGCCTCCACTCAGGTACCTTCTCTCCTACCCCTCTTTTCTCCCCCAACTTTTTCATTTCCCCCCATTAGAATGTAAGCTCCTTGAGGACAGCGACTGACTTTTTTTTAAACTTATATTTGTACCCCTAGTGCTTAGCATAATACCAAACACATAGTAAGTGCTTAAATTCTTGGTAACATGTTGACTTACTATATATATTAAGTCTTTTAGCAAGTGATCCAGGTCAGGAATTAGAGGTGACACCTGCTCTTAGAGACAAAGAGAGCTTTCATTGGGACTTTTGCAACTGGGGCAAGTATCCCAAACTGAAAATGCGATAAACGCACCCTTACTTGGGGGGGGGAAGCAAGCTGGTGGTAATTGTCTATATTAATTATTCTCTCTGACTAGGTTGGTTCTGTGGAGCTAAAGCGTGGCAAGGAACTTGGGTTCTTTAAATAGCTACACATGATACAATAAACACTTATTAAGTGCCCACTATTTGCCTGGCACTCTGCTGAGTGCCAGGAATACAAACAAGAAAAATCTGGGCCCTGCCTTCAAGGAGCTTATAATCTAAGCGGGGGGGAGACAATACAAAAGGAAGCTGAGAAGGGGGAGGACAGGGAGGAATGCCTGGGGGGGACATGAAGATGATGATGGATTTGAAACTAAGCAGAGTAACTAGTAGCAAATGAGCTGGCTGGGATTTTGAGGCCTCTATAAAGGGGAGACTATGGGAGGAGTTTTCTTACTTCTCCCCCCAGCCCATGAATCAGAGGAGGTAGAATCAACTGATGGGAGTTAGTGGTACAGTGGATAGAGCACCATTCCTGGAGTCAGGAAGACTCATCTTTGTGAGTTCAAATCTGGCCTCAGACACTTACTAGCTGTGTGACCCTGGGCAAATCTCTTAACCCTGTTTGCCTCAGTTTCCTCATCTGTAAAAAGAGCTGGAGAAGGAATTGGCAAACCACTCTAGTATCTCTGCCAAGAAAACCCCAAATGGGGTCAAAAAGAGTTGGACAAGACTAAAAATGACTGAACAACACCCACAGAATCAACAGTATTGCTGAAACCATCTCCAAGGTGATGAATTTCCTGATGAT